ATTCAAACCTGAAAATTTTAAATTTTTGACATTTTTCCCAAAAAAACACGATGCACCCCTATAAAAAACCCGAAAATGGGTCAAAAAATACATTTTCCTTAAAATGATTGGGATCGTTAGTATGGCTAGCAAGCTGTTCAAAACATTTGGTCTTTTTGCTGTACGCCTTATTTTGGCTAAACTGCGATTGAAAAACTGGGTAGAAAAATCGTATTTTTGACAAAAATGTAAATCTCATAATTTTGACCAAAATCTGAATCCCATTTTTTCGCACTAAAAATTTAGTTTTTTGGCTGCTATACCAAAAATAATCGTCAGATCAAAGAATGCCATACCTCGTTGAACTCGTTGTTTAATTTCCAATCCATTGGCATTCAAACCTGGAAATTTTAAATTTTTGACATTTTTTCCAAAAAAACGGATTTTTGACAAAAATGTGAATCTCAAAATTTTGACCAAAATTTGAATCCCATTTTTTCTCCCTAAAAATTTAGTTTTTTGGCTGCTTTAACAAAAATAATCGTCAGATCAAAGAATGCCATACCTCGTTGAACTCGTTGTTTAATTTCCAATCCATTGGCATTCAAACCTGAAAATTTTAAATTTTTGACATTTTTCCCAAAAAAATCGGATTTTTGACAAAAATGTGAATCTCAAAATTTTGACCAAAATTTGAATCCAATTTTTTCTCCCTAAAAATTTAGTTTTTTGGCTGCTATAACAAAAATAATCGTCAGATCAAAGAATGCCATACCTCGTTGAACTCGTTGTTTAATTTCCAATCCATTGGCATTCGAACCTGGAAATTTTTAACTTTTAACATTAAAAAATTGACATTATAAATTAAATAAAAATATTTCAACAGCTTCGTCGCCGCATTAAACTGGAGCATATTACCGTGACGATTTTGGAGGAGGTAAAACTGCACTATAGACACATCCTAGAGCAGCATATAAGCACACTGATGAACATCCTGCACGACTTTATGCGCGAGAAAAACCGCACTGTGTCCGATTTTGCCAAGGGTTCGTACAGGTAAACTTTAAGCTCTAGAAAAATTAATTAAATTAAATTTTAAACCTGTTACTTCGTTTCCTTACAGTATTCTTTTCAAAATTTTTAACTCAATACAGAAAAATATTCTAAAGAAACTGTTGGAACTCACCTGTGACAAATCCTCGCACCTGACGACAATGGCACTGGAATTGCTTCGTGAGCTGCAGCGCAAGAGCGCTAAAGATGTCCAGAATTGTGCCACTCTTCTCATACCGATGTTGGATAGGATTAGTGATCTGACTCTTACACAAACTCGCGTGGCCATGGACCTGCTGTGCCATGTGGCCTTTCCGGATCCCAAGCTATCGGCCTGCCTTCAGCTCCAAGAGCAAGTCGACATGGTGGTGAAGAAGCAGCTGATCAATTCAACTGACAATATAAAGAAACAGGGCATAATTGGCTGTGTGCAGCTCATCGATGCAATGGCTCGCATCGAGAACGATCCGGTAGAGCATGACGATTCCCTAACCAGCGTGGAAAACGTGGATTCCTTGCCCGATGGCCGGGGAAAAATGGCCGCCAATTTAATCAGTAATTAAACATCAACATTCTATTAAAATCGATGTACTAATATCTCTGTAACACAGTTCGCACTGAGTCCTCCATTGGAAATAGTGTCGAGTCTTTGGCCTTGTTCTATGAAGAATTGGCGACGGTTTTCAATCAGCGCAATGATGGAACTTCCGCCTGTGACTTGGACTACCGATTTATTGCCTGGGCCTGCGATGTAGTAACCTTCCGCTTTCAAGCTAGCTTTGTCACCGAGGATGTTCAAGAGACGATAAAGTATGTGTTCGCTTTGAATTTTAAACTCCACTAACTTTATTGATTTTTAGGGGTATTAAACTGGAATACCAAATGAACATCAATGAACTAGACGACACAAATGCTAACACTGAATCGGATGTCCTCAACATTGGCATAAATATATCCAAATTGGTTCTATCACCCAAAGCGAAGTATGTTCACTGATTAAATTAATATTTTGTTAATAATAAAATTTGTATATGTTTTCCATTTTCAGAGCTTGCGAGTCTATATATGTTCTGGCGCCTTTGTTCAACTGTGTTAGGGTGCTGTATAAACACCGACACCATGACAGCCTGGAAGGCATCAACGCTTTGCTGGGCTGTGCCATTGTATTGCCTTCGTTTTTTGAGGATGATAACTATCTGGCCGTCTTTGACAACTTTGAGGCGGAGCAGCAAAAGGACGTTCTGAGCATTTATTTTCACACCGTCAATTGGATGCGGGTTTCGATCAGTGCGTTCGCATCGCAACGCGATCCTGCCACTAGGCGGCGGGTCCTCTCAAGACTCGGGGAATTGATACGCATCGAGCAGAGGATTAAGCCGCTCCTGGCCAGAGCGCCCACAGACTTTATTGCACCGCCATACCAATTCCTGACTAACGCCAAACATACGGTCATGAACCAGAAACGTCAAGGATCAAAACCGGCTGCCAAATTTAATGCAAATGCAACTGAACCAGACTTAACTGGCAACCAAACATCGATCGTTGACTTTACGATTAAGGTGGGAGCCTGCAAGTCCGTGAAAACAAAGATAGATTTTGAGCAGATGTACGGACCGCGAGAGAGATACAGGCCAATGGAAGTGGAAATCATAATGCTGTTGGTCGAGCAGAAGTTTGTTCTGAATCACCAGCTAGAGAAAGAGCAAGTTGGCGAGTATCTGGGTCTCCTGGAGCTGCGTTTCCTCTTGGAAGACACGGTCCAAAAACTCGAAGCAGCAGTCCTTCGACAACAGGATTCGTCTGATGCGGATAGCTTCAGGCCGCATCTGGCCAAGCCAGAGGATTTTATATGCGATTTACTTCCCTGTCTGCATGAGGTTAACAATCACCTAAATACCCTGGCAGAAGCCATTGACAAAGAACTTACGAAAGTCAATCATGTGTACAGCAATCTGGACCTGTTTAAGGAGCAGTTTAACTATATTAAGACGTGCTTTGGGTTGTGCGTTCGACTATTTGCCTTGTACTTCGCCTGGAGCGAGTGGACCGATAAGTCGCAGGCAGAACTGCTCCATAGTAAGCTGTTCACATATCTTTAAAACCCTAAATACATAAACTCTATGTATTTGCAGAATCTCTGGTTAAACTGCAGCCCAAGGCACAGTGGAAAAGACTTGAGAAACAAACTGTTCCCCAGCTGGCTACCTTGGCATTCCAATACTTTTTAAAGTACGAGAAATCTGTGTTAAATCTTAGTACGGCGGTCCACCTATATCGGTTGTTGCGCAGCTTGCTAAAGGTGGGAAGTTCGCAAAACGATGCAAGCCAACCGAGATTTCAACAAGCCGAGGAATTACGTAAGCAGAAACTATGAAATATGGACTGTACTTTCAGGATTTATTTTTCATCCAGGGTTACTGTGTGGCAAGCTGCTGCGGCGTAAATGGTTTCACTACTCTGGTAGTTTGGACAAAGGCGGCCAGTGCAACATATATTTGGACGAGCTGGTCAAGGGATTCCTTAAGAAATCGACTTCCGAAAGTCAATCCGAACTGCTTAGCGAACTGGTCAAGCAATGCAGTATCCTAAACACGAAGGACAAAGCCCTTACTTCCTTCCCAAACTTCAAAAAGTAAGAAAACACTCCTTTCGCCAATAATATATTTATTAATGTTGTATATTTTTGTAGGGCAAATTTCCCCTTGCTCTTTCGTGGTCTGTGCGAGGTGCTAATTCACTCCCTAAGTGGTCAAGTCAGTGTGGAGAGCCGTGGTGGTAGACTGAATCTTTGGGAGTCGACGGTGGAATTGTTAAATGGCCTGCTCATCATTGTGCAGCAGGTTGAGCAACCTCGAAATTTCGGACTGTTTCTGAAGCACTCGCTGCTATTCCTTAAGCTGCTGCTTCAGCGAGGCATGTCTGCGCTGGAGGCCATTGTTCGGGATGATCCCGAAAGGCTGACAAGGTTTTTGCACGAACTTCAGAAGGTGACCCGATTCCTGCACCAACTCTGCTGCCACTCCAAGTCCATTAAGATTACGGCCATCATTAGCTATATTCCCAGCCTGCGAGAGACGATTGAGACGCTGGTTTTCCGGGTCAAAGCCCTCTTGGCTGCCAACAACTGTCACTCTGCTTTTCACATGGGAAATATGATAAACAGGGATCTTCACGGGGATTCAATAATCACACCATCCAGTTCGTTTGTCGGCGGGGAGAACAGCGACGAGGAAATACCTGCAGATGATACCAGCGTGGATGAAACCGTGCTGGGAGATGATATGGGAATCACAGCCGTTAGCGTCAGTACAAGACCAAGCGATGGAAGCCGCCGGAGCAAGTCCTCATCCCGCAGCAAATGCTTTTGAATACCCCTGTATGCTTCAAAGATTTAAAATAAATCATTTGTTTTGACAAAAGTGCCGGACGTTTCTTTTGTTTAGTCTAGAATTGAGCAGACGACGATCTTTGCATTCTTTATTTATTTCATTTTTTATTATCTGGATGCAATTTTATTTAATTTTCGTATTACAAATAATAACAAATGTATGTATATCAAATATTTTAGTACAATATGCTTCTTTTCTCACTTTTATTTTCTTCGTTAACAATAATTGTTTATTAAGACGTAAAAGTTGTTCTCCCATTTTTCTCACATTCGGCCTTCCTCTACGATGAATTCTGATTGTTTTTATTATTTAATTTCCATTTGTTGTTTTTTTTTTATCTCGTAATAATTGGCGACGTTACGTTCACGGTTTATGAATCCCTTTCATACGTGTGGTATGTATGCAAATGTTTTGTGATGTATGTATATCAATAGGTAGTTTATAAAAGAGTTTTAAAAATCAATCATTATAAAATCGTTATATATGTAATTAAAAGAGCAAAGAAAACACACACAAACTATAAATTTAAAGGTAAAACAAAAATGGTCTAAGCAAAGTTAATCCTAACGTGTGTGTATGTTTGAAACAGATATTGTCCTCATACAAATCGTGTTTTTTTTTCTGTGTATTAAAGAAGAAACAATCTTGGAAACTTTCCAAAGGTATCAGATCCTTGCATCCACTGCCACTGTCCTTCACCTTTCTTTATAAACAGGTGCGCTTGCTTTAAGCCGATTCTTGAAATATACATGAATAGATTTTGCTGCTGAAAAGGTTTGAAGAGATAATTTGGAATAGGTCGAAATAATTTGTATATTTCAATTTACAATACGATCGTGTTTTTGATTTATTAATTTTTATTGTTTTCTTTATTTGCCAATTTTTCAAAACTTAAAACATTTTACACAAATTAATTTTAAAAATTTTTAATACGTACGCAGTCTGTTTAAAAGTAAAGTTAGATTATACACTCCTACGCCTACATATACATTATATACTCAAATATATATATTTATAGAGAAAGATATATATATTTATTGTATATATAGATTTAGTAATTATGATTAAATCTTGCCTTTGCATCATCACAATTCATGTAAAGTTTTTCATTTTTTTCGCTCAGTTTCCATGCGCAGTTTGCAATTTTGTTGTCCACCTTGCTTTCTTTCATGATTCCTTTCGACTTTCTATTTTCTATTTCTATTTTCAGTATTGTGTTGATTTTTTTGTTTTTTTTGAAGGTTCTTGTTGAAATTTACACACGTATACAGTTATTGTTATTGTTATTAGATCAAAGATAAATTTTGCTTGCGCTCCTCTTCACAATACACAAAAATTTTAAACCAATTAAACAGCTAAACAAATAAGTTCTTTAAGTATTTAACATTAGTGAATTATGTTAGGTCGTAAAAATATTTTGCTAAAAATTAATATTCATAGTTTAATATATATAACATACTATTGAAAACTTAAGCGCACAAACAAAACTAAATATTCAAATTAAAAACTAATTTTGCCAAACGTTTTTGCTTTCCCGAAAAATTAAAACAAAAATTACAAATTACAATATTTAACACAATTAGGGGTGTAGGGTGTTGGGTGTTTTTGGGGGTAAAGGTTCAGGGCAGGGGTGGGTGGGGATGCAGGTAAATTTTAGGCTTCCAAAGAAATGGTTTCTAAATAACGGCACATAATTTTGGTAAAAATTTCATTCTCAATTTTTTTTGAATCGACGAAATCGGTTAACTTTAACGGATTGTGTAACAATTTGCCAATTGGTTTATAGATTTAGTTTAGTTTTAGTTTACAATAGAAAAAACACATTAACAATAAAAACTTATAAATTAAATTACAAATTTAAAACAATATAAAATCAGTACAGTTATCGAATTAAACAAATTGTTAAAATTAATTATATTTATATATTTGCAATTTGAATTGGGTTCAAAGGTTTTAAGTCACCAAATGTGGAAATTTCTAGGGCGAAAAATCGAAAATTTTGCATGCAAAAAGACGCGGCGTTATAGAATTTTCATAATTCACTTCCTTATCAAATTAATTTATTTGTTGTGTTTGTGTGTGTTTAAAGAAAAAAAATGATTAAAGTTTTAAAATTATTCTTCCCTTTCTTTTTGCGAAGGCAACAATCAATTGCAATTGCGTGAAATGCTCTCTCAATAAAAAAAAGTAAAATATTCAGGAAAACTCATGGGGAAACTTATCAAAAATAAAAAATGGGTAAATATTTTAGTAATTTTCTTTCTCTTGTTATTGTAGTTAGAAAATGGCGCACACTTCTCATCCCCTACAACGACAGTTTACTTTACTTTAATAATTATGTGTATATGTGTGTGAGTGTATGTATGTGAGTGTTACTAAAGTTAAGCTTAACTATGGTCATTTAGAATTTGTTGTATATATTCTCTTATTGTTTGTGGCTAATATTATGTATTTAAAGTTCTTTGCTGGTTTGCAAATTTTGCGCAAGTTTTAATTCATGTTTTCATTATTTCGTTTTCGTTTTTCATTTTCTTTTTTTATTTTTACTTTAGGCAACTGCTTGGTGTGTGTGTTGGTGTGTATGTATGTGTATTTTTAAATTTAAAAAAAGTTATTGTTTTTAGGCTTATGCTGAACAATGTTCATAGATACGTTTTAAAACACACGCGTCCTTCGTCCTTCATCGACTGCCAACAGTTTGTATTTTGCTTTATACTTGAGTTCAAAATTGGAAGTATTCTTTCGTTAGTTTAAAACTAATTTATATATTTTCGTTTTATACATTTATATATATTAATTAACTTTTTGCTTTACTTGAGATCTAGCAATAGCGGAAACGTAAACGACAGAATTCTTGTTCAACCAAACGATTTATTTTTGTTGAAATTTTGCAAAATAGAAAGAAAAACGGGCAAGTTTTTGTTTCAATAATTTTCCCTATATAAACGTATTTTGACACGTGTGTGGCGTTTTTATATTTTATTTTTTATCCTTAGGCATGGAGTTAGTTAAGTCAGCTTGATATATTCATTACTTTAGCTTAGGGCTGTGTTCTCTTCCGTATTATCTGTGTGCGTAGCAGTTATAGATGAGTAAAGGAAAGTGGGGAAAAAGAGTTTAATCTGAACTTGATATTGGATAAGTGGATTTTAAATAGAATTTCTTAGCTGTGAATGGTTTGGTTTTTGTTTTTCATCTGCTAATTCGCACTTGAGCGTAGGCTAATTGATTTTATAGTTTTAGTTATCTTTGTTTAATCCAACGTTACTCGTTACAAGTGTTAATATTAAGTATGCGTTATTGTTATTAAAATTTATAATCAATTTTATCATTAGGTTCGTTACTTTTACTGTTTGTGATGTGTGGTCTCCGCGTCTGTAAGTTTCTTCCTAATTCGTTGCTTCGATTTGCAGACATTAGTCAAATTTCTTGTTGATTTGCGATTTTTATCTGCTTATCAGTATTATCAGTATTATCAGTGAGTTTTAAGTGTAGTTTTGTATGTGTGCAATTACTTAGCTCTACATGTTTTTTTGTTTTTACTTTTATTTCACTTCTGACAGATAATTGATTTGAAGTTGCCTAAAACTTACGTTGTTAAAAAATAGTTTGTTTTCAAATTTACGCAGAAAGTCTTGCCAGTTGCCGTCGCCAGTCGCATTATATAACAATGCCGGCCGCGTTTTAATTTTTGTATTTGCTTATCGTTCTCATATCAACTCATTCGATCTAATTAATAATTTGTTTTTTTTTTTCATTATTTTTGTCAGTCAATGTTTCTTCACTAAGCTTTGCTTTTCAATTTGAATTGTGTTCTTGGTGTTCTTAGAATATTAAACAGTTTTTGTCAATTCATCTGAGCTTGATCTCGTGTGTATATATGTCTGGGTTTTCCATATGTCAGCTTTCCATTGGCTATATACAAAAGAAGAAATCGCTTGTCTAAAATTTGTTTCTCCATTTTAACTTGCTATTTTCCAATGCCCATGTAAATATGGTAAAATGTTTCGAGTCGAATTGATTTTGAATTTGGTTGCTTACGCATTCTCAATGTATAAAAGGGGTGCTACATGCTGCTTAAGATTTAAAATCAATCTGTATGGGCTTAGACTGCTCTCTCTATATAGTTATAGATAAATATATTTTATGTTTTTGTAATTTTCATATAGGTTTTTGCTATATATGCTCAATTATTGTTTCAATTTCGAGTTAAAAACGCTATGAGACAAATTTCCTTATACTTTTTTGTGAACTTTTAAAACGACTTGACTTTGGTTTATCTAAGTTGTGAGGCGCTGATGCTTTTTAAAATTGTTTTGGGAAAATCGAGCTAAACTTGTTTCGCTAAATGAAAATGTTTCGTTTAAAATGCTTTCGCTGCAAAGGCTATTTAAGTGATTACATACAATACATATACTCTACTCGACATATTTGTTGCTGCTATTGCTGATTTCTTGATTTACTGATTTCTTGATTTGTTATTATAGTTATTTAGAGGGACGCAATCTACGGCGTTCATAGCAAAAGAACTAATATCGAAACGAGTCTCTAAACAATGCTTTTGAATTGTGGCTAATTGCATTTCTTATACCTTATATAGTTTGTTGAAATTAAATTTATTGCTTTTAAGAATGGTTGCTATTTTGTTTTTTTTCGTTTTACTTTCATTTTTTACTATGACGCGAAGGATTCTTCTCCAGGATGTCGCTCGGAGAATAATATTTTATGTGGTTGTAACTTCCTGGTGTTGCTGCTGTTGTTGTTGTTGTTGTCGTTAATTGATTTCAATTGGGTTGCTGTGTGGTTTTAACTCCATGCCGAAAACGTATCCATGTACCACTGTTCACCATTGGTGCCTAAAGGTTGCTGTGGTAGCGGTAAACTGCCCCAACTGCCGCCATTTCCTATTAAACCGCTCGGGTAACGTCGCTTAACATCTGCCGGATTTTGGTGACCTCCATCGAACTTACGTTTACCGACTACTGCAGAGTGGTGACCACACCACAGATCGGTGGATGGATGGATTTCGTTTTTATGGCAGGCATTCGGTTTGATTTTTGGTGTGCGTTGAGTGTTTGGTTTTGGGTTGTGGTTGGTGGTGTGAGGTGTTTTTCGAAAGAAAAAAAAGAGAAAGAGAGTTAAAAATGTTGTTAATACAAAAATGGTTCAAAGTTGTTGCTATTATTTCTTTGTTTTGGTAGTTGGTTGTTTTTTTTGATTGGATTAAGTTCAACTGGTCTATGGTTCGAATGAGGGTTGTCTTGACGTTGTATTAGTTATTTTAGTAGCACAATTTCATGATTTTGGTCCACTTCGATTTCGCTTTGTAAGTGGTGGTAGTAGTAGTAATGGGGGAGAGACGGTCGTTTGTGTTTCCAAAAAATATTAAAGACAACACCATTTGATCTTTTGTTCGTTTAATTTATCTCATCATTGGTTTTACACATCACAAATCGGGGAATCGTGTTACTCGACATAACGCCAGGGACTTGGGGACACGGTTACATGTACAAATGTATTGTGTTTTGGGTGTGTGTGTGATTGTGGTGTTATTTGGTGCAGAGTGTCATCGTGTTTGTGTGGGAGTTAACAATTACCAAACGGGTTTCTTGTAAGTAAAACAATTGTACATGATATTATCGCCTGACATGGAACATGGAACATTTAGTACAGCTAACGATATGGGTAGCGGCGATAACCGATAACCGGGACAAGGTTGCACAAACAGAATCGTCCGCCAGATCGATGAATGGATCCCTGGACCAAGGGATAACAGAGCGCTGTACATGAAAAGCTCGGCTAGTGGATTATAAGTGTGCTTGAAACTGGGGCCTTGACGTCGAGTGTGCGGGCTTCTCCACTCATAATTTGAAATTTGGAATTTTGCAAGGACTTCTTTCGTGTCTACAGGGCTGAACTGATCTGATCTGGCGCTAATGATTTTGATGCAGCATGTTCCTAAAGACGATACGCGTGATGTGTATTCTTGAATGACGAGCTTCTTCGTTTGGACTTGATTTTGAAAAAACAAATGTGATATATATATATATATATCTATCATGTAGGGGGGATGATGTATGTGTTCTTGCGACGGAATAAATTTGGTTTAAACGGACTTCCGCTTGTGTTTCTTTTCTTTATCGGGCCGAGACGACTTGGATTTGTGGGAATGCTTCTTGGACTTGTGTGACTTGGTTTTGCTATGTGAGGACCTATGGACTTTACTCTTCTTCACCGGAGAGCGACTCTTGTCGCTGTACCAGGAGATGATCGATGTGCTACGCTTAGTTGCCCTCCATAAATGTCTTGAGTGCAGCTCCAGCTAGAAACAGATTTAGGATTTTGGATTGTTTTTTTTTCTTTTGCATTCATTTTTTGATTTTGGGTTGTGTTTTATACCGTTGACACAGTTGTGGTTTTCAAAAACAAAGCGCTTGTAATGAGCATGTGTGTTTGAAGCATTCTAACAGTAAATAAAAACGAGTCTTCTGGTGAAGACAAAAGTATCTACGAATACAGCCACAAAAATGTAAAGCGTGTTCAAAAACGGAAGCAGGTGATTGGGCGTTGGGTGGTGGAGTTCCGTGTTTTTTGGTGGGTGGTTGGGTGGATTGATTGGGTGCTTCTCGAGGTCGTCACGCTTTTGCCTGCTGGTGTTAGTCAACCCACATTACTGGGGCAAAAGCGTGATCTGTTTGGGGTCCTCCGCTATATGTATATATATATAAACAAGTATAGATTCCATTGACAACAAATTATAACAAAAATTGGTTGGTGTGTGTGCGTGTTGTAAACATAATACACGAATCGATTAGTATTTGTTTATACATAAAATAAATAAAAAACGATCTCAGTTGGTATTGGTGTCACCCTGTGTGAGGATATGATATGTATGAAATGTTAAAGGGTGGTTATATTATACATATATAAGGTCATATTGGTATACATGTGTGTATAGGTTACTAAACTATTAATTTTTTTTTTGTTTTTTTTTTTTTAGGCTTTGCAAAGCATGATGGATAATTAATTAACAAGACTCACAATTCGATATACATAAAATCACACAAAATATCATATGTATATTGTTAAAGTAATGGGCTAGAATATAAATAATGTATAAATAAAGGTTTTATATTTAGATTTGTGCAATCGCAATCGATCAGGTAAATCTTGAAACGCGTATCATTTGTATAAGTATATTATTTGTAGCTGGTGGCCAACAAATCAGCGCGGGGTAAAAAAAACACAAAAAATTATATACACGTACGTCAAAATTTTGGATGGGGATCGTTTTCTTTTCGGCGGATGGGTACTGTAGATGGGGTTTTGGGGGGTTAGGGACAAACATTGATATTAATCGGAACAGAGATGGGTGCCAATAATGCTTCAGCTCTCCCAAACGACTCTCTTCGACTCTCTATGACGCTTAATTAGTAGGTGACAATATATTCTCTGTGCTTGGGTGGTTTGGTGGGACATAAATACTAATCGATTCATAAACGTTTACAGACATTGCTCATATAGTTAGGTACATATCCAAGACAATATGCATAGTATAAACAATTACATAATTTGTTATAATGGCTTTCCATATACATAGGCGATGTTCGATTGTGTGTATGTGTGTGTGCGGGTGGGTGGGCGTTTTCTGTTTTTAATGGGCGTGGCTGTCAATTGCTGCTTACAATTGGAAAAGTGAAAAAACCATGCATCAAAAAATGTAGCATACATCTCAGCGCTGACACAGAAATGAAAAAAAATGGACAATCGTAAGCAGCAAGATCACAACTACTTGGATCACAAAGAAACATTTGATAAGAAAAGTATTAATATTGGAAATATAAAAAAAATAACCAAGGAATGGGTAAAACTTTACAACATTTAGAACAGTTACAAATGCGATACACACGACATTGAAGTGACCTTTTTTTTGGGGGGGTTAGGATCTGGGTTCGGGGATTCACACTATATTTAAATCTCTCGTTATGTTCGTTTGTGTGTGTCTTTGTGCGCGTGATGAGTGTGTGTGTGTGTGTGTCTAGGTGTATTTTTAGGGGTGTGGGTGGTATTTCGTATGCATGTTTACATTTTTACTTGGCTTTACTTATTAATTTATATGAATTTGACATTTGCAATGTACACATATATATATTCTCTCAAGTTTGCCGCTGTTGTTGGTTTTTGATTATGCAGTTTTCACTTGGCGCAGGTTGTTGGGATTGTTTTTGATTCGATTTGGTTTGATTTGGTTTGAATTTGAATTTGATTGATTTGATTTCTTTTTGTTGGTTGGTTTGATTTTGGTTTGGTATTTTTTGTTGTGGTGTGTTTTATTTTATTGAGATACGAGTACGTTCTTTGTGTTTTTTGTTGAGCTCACCTGGTAAATTTTGTAGCGGCTTGACGTGCTGGGTGCCACGAACGCTGGGACGCGTTGGCACCACCCCACGGACCCCCCCGGTTGCTGCCGGCGCCCCCTGACCGGTGGCCCCCCGCTGAGCTACCGCCGCCGCCGCCTGTCCCGCCGCCGCTGCCGCTGCCGCCGCCTGTGGCGCTGTTTGGGCCCCCAGACGACTGATGCTGCCACGTTGGCCAACGACTCTGCCACGCGGCATTGTGACTCCATGCCCACGACCAATTCCCTACACATCCACATCCACATCATCATCATCATCGTGGTCATTTTTCAATGGCACAGTGTTTAGGGCATCATCATCATTATGATCATCATCATCATCATCGTCATAATTGCATGCATTAGTTGCGTTTTGTGGGTGGTGTGGTGTGTGTGTGTGTGTGAAGTGTTCGTGTGGTGTATGTTGTGTGTGGGGGTGGTGGGTGGTTCGAGAGCGTGTTTTATGCATTTCCAGATTCGGTTCCATTTTCCATCATTTTGGGTTATCCATCGGTCGTTGGTTTGGTTTTGCGTTTTGATTTCGTTTTTGATTTCAGTTTTTCAGGTTTCGAGATTTTTGTTCGAATTTTTGCATTTACAATTTTTCAATAGTATTAGCATTTTTTTTATACATAATTGAATGTGTTTGTATATATATGGATCGCCAAGATAATTGTCAAATTTTGGTCATTTCAAATTTCGAATTGAACGAAAGAGTAGTATGCAAAATAAAAGTACGTTTTTGAATTGATTTTGAATTTTGATAGTCGAATCGATGAGAATTTCGAATTTGGAGCGGTTGCATTTTCGGAAAGAGGTGGGGGGGTCAGAAACAGTTTTCGTTTTGGTTTTTTGGAATCGAAAGGTTAACGATTTGGTTTTAGATTTGGTCGTTTGGTTGGTGGTTGATTTTCGTTTTGATTTTGATTTAGGTTGGTGGCAGAGATAGAATTTGTAATTTTAATGTGGGTTTTTTTTTGGTTTTGACGAACATATATATAATTTTTTTTCAAGATTTGTTGTTTTTTGTCATATTGTACCGAAAAACAAATGAATTGTTTGTATATAGATAAGTATATAACAAGAACACATAAAAAGAAAGAAAAGAAAAGAAAAAAATCGAAATAAACGCGTTAGATTCTTGGTGTAAAAACTGTTTGTTTGATTGTACATACACGATGTAATGTATGCATATAAAGTATGTATTATTTATATAGAAATTACTAAAATGTATATATACTGTTCTCTGTATCATGTGTAAACTGAGTGAGCATTTAACTAGTCAATTGGGTATTATTATAATATACTTATAACAACGGATCTGGGGCGCTTGAAACGTTCAAGTCCAAGCAACAAAAGTTTTGCCTCTTGCGATTGACACAATATTCAAAAAATAACTTTACCATGTTTGTAAATTTGTTTTATAATGTAACTAAAGGAGTACAATAAGCGTAATGCGGTTAATTGGTTTTAAACATTAAAGCGTTTGCGTTGATACAAAAAAATAAGTATTTTTAATAGTAACATAAAGCGATGCACACTTTAGTGCGCATTTGTAATAAAAAGCGCTTCGCTTAATTGCTAAAAATTAATTAAAATTAAAACGTCAGCACGCCGTGTTCAGCTCATAAATATGTTATTAATGGTTACTTCTTCAGCCTGGCTTTATGGATGGTGCAATTAAAATTATAAATAAATAAGCAGGTGGGGTATACGTACAAGCAAAGCATAAGTTAAGCGTAATAAAGCACCGTTTGTTAATTTTTCGATTGCGGCGTGGCGCGTTGAGTCCTTAAAATACTGGATGTTGGGTGTTTCCATGGGTAAAGCGAAAACAAGGCGAAACAAGCAACAACAAATAATCCTTTTTCCGGCAATGGGCGTGCACGTGTATTTGTATCTGTGGGTGTTGTGTGGGCGTGGCATGGTTTTTTTGGGTTTTGGGTGAAAAGTGGGTGGTGTTTTGGTGGAATTTGGCAGCAAGAGACGTGCAAATTTTGACTTTATATAAACGAAACAAAGAGAACATATTTTGGGGAAATTAAAGCCAAATGATGAAGCGTTTTTTGTTCTTTTAAATAAATCAAATACAAAATAAACTAACTACAAGACAGGAAGGCAATCAACTGAGGGCATATATCTAAATCAGTATAACTCAAAATGAACTCTACAAATCTTGTGTTTCTGTGTGCGTTGTGTTCTTGTTCTTCAAATTGTACTCCGATTCGAGAGGATCTAATATAGGAGAGAGATTTTCGATTTATAAAAACGCACCATAACGCTCGTCGAACCACTAGGACCACTTGCCGATCCTCTGGCCGATCGCTGGCCACCGGACAGCGGTGAATTCTGGGAGCCGCCCGACGAGAGCGGTACCATCGAACCGCCGGTCACACTCCCGCCGCCCCCGCTGCCCCCGTTGCCGCTCGGGTAATCATAGTAGTTGTAATCCCCATCATACGAGCGGTACAGCTCCTCGTAGAACGATTCGTTGGTATAGGTCCCTTGGCGGTAGTCCGAGAAACCGAAATAGTCGTAATCGTATTCTAGTAGGTGGGTTGGGTATTAGGATTAGGTTCGGGATTCTAAATGGGTTACGATATACGGATATACGGGTTGCGGGAGAGACCTCCCCTATAGACCTAGACCTAAGCTCCTCCCTGATAGGATATCATTATGCTGCCAATTGTTTCACTTTGCCAATGTTCAACGAATTGGGTGCGTACTAGAACGCATTAACAATATACTCGGGGGGATAATATATGGATTGGTGGTCTTGTCTGTGGTTGTGGGGTGGTTTTTGGTGGCTTTGGTGGTTTAGATGTCACACTAACACACGCGAATCGGTATGTGGCTTAAGTAGATGAGACTTAGGGTTACTTACCGGTGATATAACATCAAACAGTATACAGGGTGCTTAACATTCGCTACACAGAGAACACAATTGCAACATTTAATTATCGTAAACAACTATGGACAACGTTTAAGGTTTAATGTCTAATGTCTATGCTTTGGTTATGGATTGAGAGTATGTGTTAGTTTTTTTTTTCGTTTTCTTGATGCCCTGCACTTGGCGACACAGAGAGTTCGGATCGGAGGGGCGGGAGAGTCGAAGATGGGTTATACTTATAAAACAATAAAACTGGACAACATCGATAAGGAAATAAACACAAACATGCGAATAAACCAAGGATAATAATTGTAGTGGAGGATACATAAATAGAGCATTGACATATAACTTGCAAATGCGAGAGTACCAGAAAGAAAGAGACAACATTTACGATTAGTAAGATGGGGAAAGTAATAGAAATCAGTGAGAAATTGTTATATTCAAGTTACTTCAATTGATTGCCAATGGTCAGAGATCTTAAGGTTAGTGGGTTGGTTAATCTCGATCTAGCTGGATACGTTTTCTCACTCGACTGGGACTCGAGGGCAGTGCTAAGCGTGACTTTGGGGGCATTTGGGTGAGAGTGAAAGTGAGGGTGTGCTTGTGTTTGTAGTATGTGGCTTGTTGTTCTTAGGGACGATTATACAAATGTTAGTGGATAGCGCGCGCTTTCTAAACCTTAAATAACTTAAATGATGAGGCGAGGAAAAACAATAATCAAGATAAACAGAGGGTAACAAAACGTTGCGTTTGATGGCAGACATGATGATATTGATATCGTTCAACTTAAGGCATAAACTGCAGACCGGATTAGTGTTAGGTTGGATCAGTAGCTGCTGCGCTTTTCGGTTAGACTTTCGAGCTAAGAACTAAAAACAAACCTATAAGATACTGGTGTGGATGTATGAGTGGTGTTAGTGTGTGTGTGTGTATGTGAGTGTGCCTAACAACTTGGCTAATTGACTACGAGAACTAAACCAAATTAACAAAAGTTATAAAGTATTTTTTTCTCAATTGTGTAGAGTCCCAAAATGAAGGCGCTAGCGGCCTCCTCTTTTCTCCTCATCAACACATCAACATGATTAACATAGCCGTTGCGAGCTATGCATATACATACAGAGACATCTAGGGCGCAACCGGAAACGGAAGCGGCCCTATTCACTTGGCAAATTTGCCAAACTTACCGTATTCGCGAGGTATCGGCGTACGCAGCGGCATGCGCGCCCCTTGGAGGCGCATGGGCGTCAAGGACATCATGCTGGGATGTGTCGGCGACAGGTTTCTGTATGGAGACAAGGTTTCAAATCTTTACAAGGTAATCCCACACGGACATGGCATTCGAATATAGATTGAGTGAGGTTTTTGGTTATTATTTTTGGTGTCGTGTTCGGGGGACAACAAAGTATTTGGTGGGGGTGAAGTTCATTCGCGTGGCGGGCAATTGGCAAAGAAAGAAAGAAAATAATAATAAAATATAAATATAATTAATTGACTGCTTGAAATGATGGCGACTTGAAGAGCAAACAGACATTTTCATTTTGTATTTAGCCGAAATCTAAGATGCCCAATGGATTTGTTGTTAATTTTTTTTTGAGTTTTGTGCCAATAAGGGTAGGTGTTGTGCTGTGCTAGACAAGTTTTACGTATGTGGAGAATTTGGATGGGGAATTATTAAAGTGGAGGAGCTGGAAATACATACCCCACGATCCCGGGACGCGCTTGCATCATTTGCATCATACGGCGCTCACGAGCCCGCAGAATTTCCTCCTTTTTCTTTTTGTCCGAAGGAGGTTTGGCTAGAGAGACCTATAATAATACATTATATAATATATTTGGTCAACAGAATTAGCTTTAGAAAAACCCACCTCAATATTCGAGGCGCCGATCTCCTTGCCATTAAGGCCACGCATAGCTTCGACGGCGCTATCACGATCCTCAAAGTGTATAAAGGCATAGTCTTTAATTTTCTTAACGCGTTCCACCTTTCCATATTGCTCAAATTGCTCCTTTGGATAAAATATTATTATACGATGTTTAGAATATAGAATTTTCTACAATTACCTTTAGCTTATCCTCTGAGACGTCCTGGGTTAGATTTCGCACATACAGAACTTTAACCTTGGACATGGTTTGTTCATCCGGCTCCTCCTGTGGATCGGCCCAGTCGACTATTATATCACATCCCCAAACCTATAAATACACGTCTTTTATAAGGTTTCTATTTTAAAGACTTTTGTAAAGATCTTACCTTAATTCTTCCTGTGCCAAGCCTTCGTTTGGCCAAAGATGCCGCCTTGTGTGACTCGTATTCGAGAAAACAGAAGCCGCGATTCTTTTTCTTATCATCTGGCGAACTGTAGATGATTACCTCGTAAAGGCCAGCTATAGGTTCAGATTCGGGATCAGGTTTATTTTTAAATAAAGAAAATTGTCATTTGAGTACGGTAAATATAAATCGTGTTATCAATTCAAATGCAATATGATTAGTTGGTTGCATATGTAAAAATTGAAACGAAAGTAATACAACAAAAAAGTATTTGTATCTGTATCGGTATATTGGCAGGTGTTTGTGTGCGAGAATGTTTGAGAGTACAGGTGATAAGACACTGAGACGCACTCTGGGCGATTTATAAATAAATGGAATACTGTATTATATTGAAACAGAAAGGCACAAAATTTTACACGACAGGAGAGCGGGCTCCAATCGCTCAAGATTGTTTTCGTTTTTTTTTATTATGTTGTGTAAAATAATGAGCATTTCCGTAATCTGAATCTCTATATAATATGTAGAGCGAATTAGATGATTTTGAAAACCAATGCCAACAATTGCTGCTTGCTTAACTTTTTGAAATATTTTTGAATAATTGAATGCGCTAAGCTAATAACATTTTCGGTTTTGTGTATGCAAGGTTCGAGATTTAGAGAAAGTATTACAGAGAGCGGGGGGTATAACATTAAGTTGGATATGTAGTACGTATAGAGAGTATTGTAAAATGAAACACACATTTAGAAAAACACTTAAAAAACCTCTGTTGCTATTTGTTGTTGTTTGTTTGTTTATATATAGTACATGTTGCAATAAAAATAGGAAAAGTAAAAAAAAAAAGGTATAACCAAAAACACAACACGAAGTATAGAGCACACATTGAGCTTGGATTTATTTTTCGTTTGGAGTAATGGAAACGATAACGGGAAAACTATACACAAACATAGCCAGAGTTAGACAGATTAAGAGATAGAGAGAACGGTGTGTACACTGAGATACAAAGAGAGATATCGGTAGATAGAGAGAACAATAACGTAACAACGAAATATGGATATAGGATTTTGAATTTGGCTTAGTTTCTCGTCGATTCGTTTGCATCAATTGCTCGGGGAAGTAGCGCTTATGTGAGAGATAGATACAGAGAGAGTTAGAGTAAAATGAGTTCATTTTTAAGGCTTGTAGTCTCCAGTCATTAAGTAAATGAATTTTATTTATTCAACATGAATAGGCCAAAACATATCGATTTGAGTAGACGAATTACTGTTTCATATTTTGGTTTTTGGGGGCAGGATCGCTTTTCGGTTTGGTTTGGTTTTGTGTGCGCCGTTTTATTATCTATGTGTATATGATATGTAGGTCTGCACTAAAACAAAAACTAGGTTCATCCCTTTATTATTTTCGGTTTTCAAAAATATTCAAAATGTTTTGGTTAGCGAATTGTTTAGCTACAGGTTTTCAATGTCAACAAATTGGGCACATTTAATAATTGGAATGTTGAACAAAAAAAATATTAAAGAACAATTAATTTTTTGTTGTATTTACTAACAGCGCTTAGCGCCACAGAAAATGAGTGAGAGTAATGGCAAAGAGGTAAAAATGCAATCGACCCAAGGACATGGCTTTCATTTAGACTAAAAGTCATGTCCTTAAATCCGGTCGTTTGTTAAAATGTTTCAATTTCGTGGGGGGAGTTTCAAAGTGTTTGATAATTTGGTTCTTTTCGATTTCGGGGGATTAGCATTTTAAAAGCGAAAATTGCAAAACAAAAATCCAATTGATACTTCATTTCGTAGGCTTCCATGCGCTTTTCAATTCTGCAAGTATCGCCCCTAAAAAAACATTTACAAGGGATTAAGTACAAGTAATTGGGGTTGGCCAATTCTGGTAGCCAATTGGGGTTTGTGCTGGGCTGGTTTTTTGGGGTCTTTTGCTTTGTTTGTGGTTGCTGTTGCTGTTGGTTTTTGGATCACTTACGTGCATGTTTTGAAAATTCCTCAATTAATTCGTCGCGATCTCTATTCTTAGGTATATTGCCGACAAATAGCCGGTGATTGTTAAATGATATCGTAACACCAATCTTTTTGCCTTTCCGAATTTCAAAATCATTTAGCTGCAATTGTTTGAGAGTTCACACAAAACAAAAGAAAATTTTGATTTGCTATGAAAAATTTGTAGTTCATTGGTACTGCGATTTGATTTTGGATTGATTTGGTATCGGGTTTGTGGTGGTTTTCAAAGGTGGTAGAATGAGTGTTCGTGTTTGATAGTAATTCTCATGGGTGGGAGAAGTTGTGGAGTTCTATTATCTAAACTTTAGTAACGTTTTTTTTTCGTAATATTTTGTATTGCGTGCCAAATAAAAAAGGAATTTACTCAAAAATAATGTTGTTCTTTAGCTAAATTCCAGTTGATTTGATGTGGATTATTCGTTTTCACTACCAGTACTAGTACTTACTATGCGGAATAATTACTTTGAAATTAAAAAAAAGGGATACTCTTCGGGCTCTATGCAGCTAGAAAGTCAAATGCGACTCGATCTTACCTTATAAATTTCATTTGAGTTGACTTTCTAGCTGGCACACGGCGTATACTTAATATTTATAATTTTTAGAGCCTGCTGTCCTACGGTGTGATTAATATTATAGAACATAATGGAAAACAAAGTTTTGGAATGCATAACAATTTGGTAAAAAATTTAAAAATTTGAATATTTTTTTGTTGGTTTCTTTTTTCGTAGGCAAAGTTAATGACTGGAGATATTATGTAAATAAGTTAAAAAGAAATATTCTTATACGACAATTCAAGCTTGTAACGAATGGCAATGAGACAAATGGGCGTGTCGCTGTATCTATGTGGGTATGTAGTAGTGTCGGTGTAATTGTCTGAGTGTGTTTGTTTGTGCTATATATGAGGCAACGTATATATATGATAAAACTGAGAAATGCATCCGACGATGTTTGTGGTTCGGTTTTTATTCATGGGGGCGCATTTGAAAAGAGTGTCTCGATTTTTGCTTTCGGGGGAGAACACTTTTCAATTTTTTTCTGAAGTGTCGAGATGGCAATGGCGGATGTTTGGATGGTTTGAGGTGTAGGGTGAATAGTAAGGATGAGTTGAAACAATAATATATAAATTAAACTGAATTCATAAGCCCTAAGACCCTTTCTAACCTATAGTAAAACAGTCTTGCTTTTGCAATTAGCCAATTTCTGTTTGGTTTAGCCAATTGGATTTTTGTTTACAATTTAATGCCGATTGTGAAGTTGCGGATGTTTGCAACTCCAGTGATGGTAATTTAAAATATATTTTTTTTGGTTAATTTCGTGTTTTGTCAATTTACCTGTAAGTTTACCAAATTCCTCTAAAATTTCATCTTTGCCCTTTGACTTGGGAATATTGCCTACGAAAAGGCGCAGATTCGGTACGCTTATATTTATTTTCAGACACTTGCCGGGTTTTATTTCGTGATTATCGAGCTAAATTGTGGAAGGGAAGGTAAAACGATTCTTTTTAATACCAATTCAATGTTAATAATAAATAAAAATAAAATCATAACTAACAAATAATTTTGAACTAAGGCAAATAAGGTCGATAAGAATAAGGAGGGGTTAAATAATAAGATTAGGATTGTTAAACTTTTCGTTTGTTTACCAATTTCGAAGCGGGCCGCGTGGAACGAATTTCGGTTGAGTTTCAGTTTGGAAATGTTAAAGGAAAAACATTTTTTGTTAGTGGTTAACTGGTTAAGGCAGAAGATATTTGGAGGCTTTTGCCGGCCAATATCATGGTCTGAATTTTGGTCATGCTCGTCTAAATAAAACCAGACAGTGAGATTTAACGTACGCTGCTTAGTTGACTACAAAAGTTGATAGCTACATAGCTGGACTTAGTACTAGAGAAAATTCAACTAAAAAGAAAATAATACAGATAGAGAAAAGAGGGGTTTTTCGGGGGTGTGTATGTTTTTAGGGAGGAGGCCAAATCTTTTATTCGTTGAGAAAGAGAACTCTTTTCAAACTTGCAATTTGAACGGATTTATGGCGCTGCAGAGATTCATTTGCATAAATTAAGATTACAACTCATAGAAGACGGGACATGCATTACATAAGTTACAGAAAGATCAAGTAGAGAGAGACAGCGAGAGAGTGAGACAGATAGCGTTGCCTATAGTTCAAATTTAATAGTTTTATAGCGAAGGCAGAGGTAAAGTTAGCATACGGTAAAAACTAAATAAAATTGCACAATTTCTCATGGTCGGATCTAAAAGCGCCAAATCGTATAGATCATATTGGTAATTTTTCGGTCTTGCTGTGGAGAATTTTAGAATATTTGAATTTTGTTTTTGGCCGCATAACTGTTCCTACTTCTTCCGATGTGTAAAACACGATAGTAAAATATGTGGATACAATACGTTAAATATGTATATATAGGATAATGTATATATCGTAAGAGTTAGCAATACGTAAAAAACATTGAAGCGGGGGGCTTTTTTCTTTGGGGGGATGGGTTCTTTGAGGTCTGGGGTTCTGGGTTCTGGTTCTTGAGGGGTGGAGGTGGTGGTCGTGGATATGGATGGTCTGTGGTTGGCTTAAATACCTGTCGCACTGCATTGACGGCCGCTTCGCGATTTGTGAATGTGACAAATGCATAACCACGATTTGTGCCCGTCATCGGGTCCATCATGAGGCGTAGGTCCCAGATTGTGCCGCAGTCCTCGAAGAGCGGAATCAGTTCGTCCTCGTACATGTCCTTGGGTATCTTGCCGCAGAAAACCTCGCAGCCGTTTCCCGGCACATTGCCCTCCCAATCCGGTGGCGGCCCACCATATTTGCGCTGACCTGAAGATGGTAATTTAAAGATATTATGATGATGTGTAAGGTTTTTTTTGGGGTCAATATAGAACATAATATAATAATTAATAGCCTTCTCACCTGTCGTCACATCTAATGTGTAGCCGGTGCGCTCGAGGATTTTCTTGATCTTGTCCTCGTCGGGACCTTTGACCTGAATGGCAGCTGCGGGCGCGGCCACGCCCTGTTGGCTGGCTCGACTCTTCTGGCGGTACGTCTTCATCACGCCGCACAGGTAGGCGGACTTGTTTGACACGTGCTCCAGGTTCGATTCGAGGAACTGACCTAACACATTCAAGGCACCATCGACGGGAAACTCCTTGAGCGCGTCCAGGGCGCGCTCATCCAGCTCGGCGTGAGCCAACTTGCCGGTTTTGTAGATTTCATCCAGCTTGCCAGCGACCTTGGGTGAAAGTTGTTGAATAGAATATATGTGGGTTGTTAGGAACTTTTCGTTTTAATACTCACTTTCTTGTCCAGACCGTACTCCAGCAGCTTGGGATAGTCCTCTGTACGTTCGCCATCGCCACGGTCATCGGCTTTCTGATTAATGTCATCTAACAGTTCGCCATTACCCTCCGCCATTTCTGTAAAGGGAAATAGGGATAGAAAAAATTATTATAAAAGTAATTCAAAATATAATCAAAATATAAATAGTACCCCTTTTTTAACCAATATTTATAATTTGAGAATGGGAAATACATCATTTATAGAACATATTCAATATACAATACAATTCTATTATATTCTTAGTTTACTTATGGGGAAATCTAAATTTGTATCAGTCCTTAAAATATTTTTTTATATTTTCAAACATTACACTACAATCTTTTTATGATCTTTGAATTAATATTGCTAAGTGGACCCATAATTTTTTTGCGACCTATAAATTTACCTTGTAGAGTTCAACGAACGCTAAAAAATAGCAAAAAAGTGCGACTGCCTTGAAAATGGGTCGCGAGAATGTGCGAATCGCAAGAATTTCGCAACTTACGCACCGCCGCACGCACTCGTAGAATCAAATAGATGAGGAATATGAAAAAACTGAGCATGGGAGAGCGGACAACAAAGCGAAAAAGTTCATTGACTTCAAACAAAATGCGAAACGCACAAATTGCCGATCCGAAAGTGGGAGCAAAACCCAGAGAAAGAGGCACCAAAAAGTGCGTGAGAAAAGAGAGGGGAGAGAAGAGAGCGGCCCACCAAAACGTGTTGGCCAAAATGTAAACAATCGAAAAGAGGCTCGTTTGGCGGATTGTGCGTGACGTGTTGCGTATACGCAATGTGGTTCACCGAATGAGCAGAGCGATAAGCGTGACGTATTAGTTGCCATGGCAACCGGCAGATAAATCCATAGTACATTGTGGTTTTATGTGCCACTGGTCTTTAGTTAAATGTTTGATTTAACGACTGCCTGCTAGTTGTAAACTGTCATTTTAGTTGTTTACCATCTAAAAGTTGATAATAACATTTTTAAAATATTAGCCAAACCGACGTGATTTGATGTGTGGCAGCAGCTACCTAATATATTTATTTATAATCGCGGAAACCAGAGCTGTTGCAGCTGCATTCAGCAATTTATCACAAATGAATATTTATGGCGCACTCATAATGAAAATGCAAATTTCCCGCAGTTGTCAAGTGGCAAACGCGCACCTATACACTTCATAGCATAGAAATCTACCTTAGCAGTCACACTATCAGCAAGTGCTATTTTGATTCGCATATATACATATGTATATATAGCTATACCGATGTGTGTGTTTGACGTTCAAACAAAAAACAAAGCAAGCTTGCAGGCAAAAAAAAAGAAAAAATTATAAAAAATGAAGAGCCCCAACTAGCCGAGAGCGATAATTGCGTAACATGTGCGAAATATCAGCAAGCTCTATCGCCAAAAGAACGGGAGAGGCAGTAAAAAAAACCCCGCGATAGAGCGCGACCCACAAAATTATGAGCAAACCCGAACATTTCTAAAATATTTTGCTAGCTTTTTGTTTGTTGCTCTCTCCCCTGTCACTCTCTGCGTTTTATTTTATTTTCTTGCTATCCGTTTCGTTTTCGCTGACATTGAAATACTTTTCGATTGATATCCGCGCGAATGGCTCTTTAGAACCTCGAAATTCACCAAGAATACTCACTGCTGGAACTGGGCATCTGGCTAAGAATCCGAATGGCGGAGCGGCTCTTGAGGATTATGGGGGTACGGGCCTCGCCGCCCCCCTCATCCTTCTGAACGCGGGCCGGCTCCATTTCGGGAAGACCACGGCGAAATGCACAATTTAAGAATTTGTAATTTTCCTTAGACGACTTGGAATTTCGCTTGCAATCGTGTGAATTTATTTTCTTATCGTTTTTTCCGTTCTTGTTTTTTTTTTAATATATAAATCAACAGTCAGAAAGTTATAGTTGTTCCGAAACGATTCGAAAGACGGCTAAAAATTTTCACAACTGAATAGAAATAAATTTGTCCGACCGACACAACAATGCCAATACATTATCGAATGATACGACTTTGACAATTGCTTTAAGGGGCCTACTATGATTCGAAGTTGGAATACGGGAAGGGTTACTGAGACCACACGTTATAGAGGTGGCAATACTACTAATACTACTGAAACACTATTATTTAGACTACAACCCGCTGGATATTTATGACAACTGCAGTGGGGTCATCAGAATGCAATGTACGCTATAACAATAAACGGAACCAGTCAGCCAGTAACAACAATAACAGACCTCGTGCATAACCCATTCTCGGGGCCCCTCCCATATGGTATACATATATATATATACGAATATATCTATGGTTGGGCGCGAAAACGCAGCGAGCTGTAAGTGGAAAGTGTTGGCGACAACCGCAGGGAAGCCCACAAAAGGGCAAACATGAAAATGTGCAGGAAAAGCGCTTTATCGGGGCACTGCAAACTGAAAACTGCAAGGAAATGAATAATAAACACGGCCAATGGATATTGAGAGCCCAGCCAGTTGAAAGGAGTAAAAGACAGCAAAAGCAGGAAATTCCATTAGGATTGCAACGAAATATCGATAAAAGGGGATTTCTCATACGCAGTGTTGCCAGGGTTCTGCAATTTCGCTTATGTGTGTATTATGTGAGGTTAGGGGGGGATAACTGGGCACATTCCCGAGCCAATTGAAGGAACCCCAGCTATTCAGGTGACTGCTTTTGGCCTAAAAGCGCTTTCAATTTGCAACACTTGCCGTTGCTTTTTTTTCCCCACTGCCTGTGTTTGCCCGGCTGTGTCATCATTTTTTATGCATGTTTGTTATGGCAACAGGGTGGTCGCTGCGTTGTTTGCCCCGGCAGTGGCAACTCTGTCCAATGCATATGAAATAGTAATAAAAAACAAGGAAAGAAAGTGGAAAAAACAAAGAACCGTTTGCATGTTAAAGAACATTCCTGTTTGCATGTTCGTTTTGTTTGCCAGAGAGCCGCTTGGCAACTACCTCAATAAATTTGATGTTGATGCCGGCGATATGCGGTAGCATATATACACATGCAGAGGGATATCCTGAGCCCCGTTAGTTACACCCTCGGCACAAAAAAAAAATAAAGTCACCCTCCATGGCAAGGGTGGTTTTTTGCCAACGGATTCCACCATTCCGGACTCCTTTGCCAAGAGATAATGCCTGGTGTAAGGTTAGTAAATCAGCGATATGACAAATCGCCGCAACGCAGGCGGAACACTTAATGCGACGACTCTTTTCTATAAAAGACAAAGGAGAATCAAAATTGCTGATAAAGCCAAATAAATCGTTTTGCCACATTTGTTCGTCACTCGCGTCCGTCTGCCAGACAAAGCGTCGCCACCGGCAGCAGTCTGGTCTAGAATTACAAGGGGGCCCCCCTTTGGAAACTCCGCCCCTGTGTCTGTCACTTTTGAAGCCAGACTGTGGAGAAAACTACGTATAATATGGGGTATAGTAGCTAGGGGGGTCCAAGTCTGGGGTTGTTTGCCATGCTATATAGGAAGTGTTAAAGTTTCAGGCTTTCGCAATTTGAATTTCAAGAAGCCCTGGCCATTTAAATGTTATTGCCAGGGACAACGGCGACAACAATGGCCACCTTCCTTTGGGGTTATTGATTTTCAGCCCCCTTTCTGCCCAGATGAACCAACTACTCTGTCCAGTTAAGCCGATTTAAGGCACAAAAATAACTCCAGCCTGGCTGGAAAGGGGAGAAAACTGCAGACACTGCAGACCTCAGAACAAAAACCTGAAGGCCTCCGAACGGAAGTGTGGCAAATGCCTTCTTGTAATTTATAGCCCCCTAGTTGGGGGGAAAGGGGTGGGGAGTTTAGAAGGCGGCCAGTTGGCCGCATAAGTTGCACAATTTATGGCATTGCGACAACGAACAAATTCCCTGCAAAGTGCAGGCGAACCAAGCAAATTAGATGGAAGCGCCTCACAGGCGGCAGACAACGGTGGAGATGGCTCTTAAGAGAATATTAAATGAATGAAATTTATTGTAATTTATGGAGGACTACAGAAGAAGTTTAATGAAATATTAGAAATGCTGCACGTTTAAGTGCAATCCAGAGGAAGAAACTTTATTGCTGCCTGCTTTTAGGCGTTGAATTAAATTACTTTTGGACGTTTTTACGGTTTAGTTTCCCAAAATTGGTATAGATCGTTAAAGAAAGTCTTGAAATATAAATAAATTGAAAAAGCAAATAGCAATTAAATGCTTTTAAGTGGAAATTACTTATAGGATAAATGCTTTGCCTTAAGAAAAGGTTATAGCCCTTTTTATATTAACCCTATCTGTATTTCTTTTAATAACGTTCAAACAAACTGAATCTGAAGTCATATCTTAAATACAGTCACGTGGCAAGACTTCCAGCGTCCCCAATATTTTCAGGACCCGCTGCCAAAATCAAAGATAACATGGCAATAAGTTGCAAGTCGGGTTTATTTGGGTAAACAGCAACGGGTTCGTGGCGGTTCAGTGGGGTTTTTGTTGCCAAGAAACCAATCAGGCGGCTCTTGCCTCCGCAATATCTGCCAGAAAAGCTCTCTATTTTGGCCACGTCACTGGGGTCCACAGACACGGTCGTAAAAACTGTGCAGCCCGGCCGGGGGAAATGTTTTCAATATTTGATGCTCACATTTTGTGGCCGCAAAAGTGCAGGGACGCTGCTCGACCGCATCAACAAATGAAAATGGCGCCCAACAGCCAACATCCCTGACCCTCGCCCCCACCCCCTCTCCCCAAAAATAAAGGAGGAGGTCAGTCACGTGTTGGCCAGGCCAAAACCAAGAGGCCCTGCCGAATTCACTGCATTGCGGCAGCGACAACAACAGTCCGTAAATTCCGGACAGTATGTATGTATGTACAAACAGTCCGTCGCCGAAGCTGAGGCATTGTGTCTATCCCCGTGTATTTGCTGTATTTGCTGTGCAGTAACTGCCTAAAATAAGGAGTAAAAAAACAACGTACGACGTGCCTGCAACAGTACATAATGCCGCCGGCTCATGGGACGGGAAATTGTCAGGAGCCGGAGAAAATAGGAGGCACGCGACAAGCTCAAAATGAAAATTACACAAAAGTTTGTCAGAGAAGAAG